ATATATATATATATATATATATACACTTCCATATGTTTATAAATAATGTTTATATAAACTTTGTATTTTAGCAGAAACATATGAATGGGGAAAAAAAGGATGATAATCAGCAGAAAGAGTTCCCGAATATTGTATCCGTGGATCCAAAGAGAGTAGCTAACTATGTACATAAACCAGTTATTAAATCAAAGAATTCTGCAGAACAAAAGGAAATTGAAATGCCTTCATCTGAGAGTCCTGCATCTCTTGAGATAGTGAGATGTAGGTATTTTGACTTTTAATTTATAGCAATAGTGTATCAAAAGTTGGAGGTTAAATGAGGATTATCACAGTAGTGCAATTTTACATTTATTTCATGCTATCGCCTAATACAGTGTGTACCACATAATTTAAGGAAGTGTATTAATAAGTCACTAACACTTTTATGGGTTGGTACAGTTATTTGACATCAGCATAATATAGAAGTGCAATACATAAGTGTTAGAATGAATCTGGTAACTGCTAAAATAGCGCGGAGAGTGTAAAAAATGTAAGTGTGGCAAGTTGCATGCCAGTACTTAAAGTAAAATTCCACACATCTGTGACTTGCAGATACCTAGAGCTGGAACAGTTAGCAATATGGGGCTTACCTTTTTTTTTCTCCTTTCATTCCTCATGCTGACAGTTAAGTAACTGTTTTTTAGGTGCTGAAAGAATATCAGAAGGAGATGTTACTCAGGAGCATATATATAGTGGAAGTTCACCTGATCTTCAGGAGTCAACACTAGAAAAAAGGGAAATGTTAAACTTTGAGAAAGGAATCTCCCCCAATAATTTCTGTCCAAAAAAAAAGAATATTCAAAGTATACATCTAAGCCAGTCCCCTGAAACAACTGTTAAAAAGTTAACATTTGGAAATAAAAGTTTCTCACCAGTTTTAACTGAAACATCTTTGGTAAGAATACTAAAGTCACTCTACAGTTCTTCTAACTGAAATTGTTCTGTTCAGCTGCCAACTGTTTTATGCTTTCGTACATCTCCTTTCTATGATTTTTTTTTTATGTTCATGTGTAGCTCAGCTTAACAACATATAAAACAGTCAGTGGAAAACATGCAAAGGGATCTGTATCTGAAACACATAATAATAATAATGAAGATTCAAGTTTCAAACATCGCTTTCCAGACACTGTTTCTATTAAAGCAAAACTACAAGATACCGATAAACCTATTACCAAAAGTAAAGAAGAGGTATGTTGCTAAATCCTTTGCTCTTCAGGAGGGAGCTGCAGCTTTTAATCTGTTTTACCTACAGATGGTGAGGCTTAAGGGAAATGCATCTTTCTTAATGTTAAACACTACATATAATGTTTACTTGTAACCTGCTTGGAAAGTCCTACTAGTTAATTTTTAAATATTTGAGATAAATTAGGGAATTGTTTATCATATGGATATAAAGAAAGAATTATGTGCCAACAAGATCAGTTATAGTTAATGTCTTAAAAAATAACGGAGTAAATATTTACTTCTTGACTTTCAATAAAAAATAAAAGATTTTTCACAAATTAAAGAATTGTGACATCTGCATGGAAAAATTCTTGAGGTGAAAAAGTGCTCTCATAGTTTTAGCACCAATGTCCTACTCAATGCTACAACTAGTGTAGTATTGGCAAACAAATAAAAACTGCTGTGTACCTTCAAGCTACTTCTCAGATGTACTTGTTGTGGTGAGAAAATCACTAATTACTTCTTTAAGAAGTCATTTTGTTTATGTCCTATTGCAAGAAACAGTTAGACATTATTGGTCATTTGGCTTACAGCTATCATTAATTATTAACATGGCTAATAAATCAGTGACTTTTCTTTTAGGATTGTGTACGACCATCTCCACTGTCAGATTCCAGTGGAAGTAAAGTACAGTCTTGGAGTGAAGAACCTTGTGGCCCCATACATGCATCAGGTACAAATGTTTAATTCAAAGCGAAAGACTTTCTATGTGTCTCCATAAAGGCTAAGAAAAAATGTTTATTTGGCATAAAAATGTGGCCCAAGTCTTTTAATCTTGTTTTCTTTCATAGATTTTCAGTATTATTCAATTTTTACTCTTTTTCTCATTTTCTCTGCTGTTTTAATTACCAAAAAAATCCCTGAAAGTTTGGCTCCAAAATGCAGTTACTTTAAAGTTAGTTACACTCTTAAAAAAGAGTTTGAAGCAAACCCACTGATATTGAAAAAAAGTGGGATAATTGTATTACCAGGAAAAGAGGGCTTTGGGTGAATCTCTTTAATGAGTGAGGTTTCCATGGGTCAAAGAATTCTGTGTTCCACTGAAATCCTGTTGTTCATTTACATCAAGTTCTCATATCTACTGAACATGCCCTCCATAAATGTAATGCTTTTTAATTTTTATATAGTTCTCAAGCTTTAAAGCCAAAACACATACTCCTAGAATTTGTATCCAAAGGATCTATAAACTCATTTATCCTCCCATGTCATTGTTCTAAATAATTCTAAAATGAAGCGTTGTCCTCATGTTCATTAAAGGACCGACTATACAAACGTTACACAAACGAAGGTACCACAGTGATACAGAAAGCAATTCTGATGAAGTAGAATCAGGTAAAGAGGAGGAAAAGAAAAGAAGCAGAAGAACAAAGTTACAGCCTAGAAAATTATTTAAAACAGGTGATGCTGTTACTTACAGAGGTTAGTTAAAGTGTGAAAGTTGACTATAGTTGTGCCAAAGTTTAAAATAATGTAACAAGTTACAATTTTAACTCGAAAAGATAAGATCAATTTAAAAGCATTTTACATGTTTAAAAAAGGAATAAAAAGAAATGCTAAATAGAGACTATATCCATTTAAAAAGTCAGAAAATTGATATGAAAATAGAATTTTCAGCCATCTAATTGGTGAAATTAATCCATATATAACAAAAGCTGTTCTAGCTGTAACTTCAGATAGGATAATTTTTCATACTGAATTGTGACATTATCTTTTTTATTTCTCTTCAGTGTCTGAAAGCATATCTACTCTATCTGTAAATGATCTGTCTGTTTTGGATGGGGAATTCTGGGAACCTGGTTGTTCAGCTATCAGTGTGGGTCAGAAGCTCCAAAAAGAATTTACTAAGAGAATCGAGGTAAGACATTTCATATACGATATTAGTTGTCTGTGTGGGGACATGTGCATATGAACAACAGCTCACCCCACCATTCTGTGGTCTTACATCACAGAATTTGCTTAAAAGGACATGAAAGTAGCGATGTGCATAAAACTTCAAGAAATGCCAGAATTCCATTTCCTTTCATGCCTTTTGCAATTCCTTTATGTACCTAACTCTCCAGTGATTTTTCTTGCCCAGGTCTGTTTTATTTTTTATCCTGTCTGTTGTTTCAAAACAAGCTTGTGTATCTAAAGTAATGAGTGTACTGCATTTTGATTTTTTTCAAATTCTCAAACTTATGAATGAAATTTATTCTCAAAAAGGAAAACATGAGCCTGAATAATGCATTTGTTCATCTAAGACAGCTGTAAGCATGCATCATTCATTCCAGGTGTATTTTCCCTATTTTGAGGAAATAATATTTTTCAAATAATGTACTTCTAGGGTAGAACTTTATCAAAAATGTAAACCCATGTTTAGTTACATTTTGTTACCAGAAAACTTTTCCTTAAAGGATAGGGAAGGAATAAAAAAAAAGGTTGTTTTGGTCAGTATGATCTGTGGTACTAAAGCAATTACAGTACTAAACAGTTTGTTTGGTTTTTTCCTAAAGTGAAAATAATCTGAATTTAATGTTAAAACATCCTCCTAGAGCCGCTCACGGAAAATGGATCATTTTACTAAGCAGTCATTAAGAGCTGCCCATGAGCATTTGACAACAATGAATTACCAGCTTCATGAATGCAGGTCTGTAACAAAGGATTTATTTTAAAACACCCTTAAAATGCAATGAATACTTTCTGAAAGTAACTCATTTTGTTTTGGTAGGATCAGGCAGCTGGACAAGTTTCATTTTGCTCTCCTTGAGGAACTTGAGAACTTTGAAAAAGATTCTCTATCCCTGAAAAACATGGAAAAAGAATTCTTGGTTTGTATTTAAATTGCTTGATCATGGAGATAAGCAAATTCTTATGGAATCCACAGGTTATTCATATCATCTTTAACTTTAGGTCATTAATTCTGATTTTAAAAGCCTTTATCATTTGGCTTATAAGTTGGGTCAAATTTCAAATAGTGAATTTGAGATGTTAGGATTGGCTCATGCTATGCTCTTAGAATTTCTAGATCACCACTGTATGTTTTTCTTCCTAGAATAAACCACCACTACTACTTTTAATGGACTGTTTACCTCCCTTAATGAGCCTTTTTTTGTCAGCTGGCGTGTTTGAACCTGATCTGCTGTGTTCTACGAGGAGCCAGTTGACATTATGGGTCTGCTACTTGCTGTAATGTAAAAATCAATATACAAACATTCATACAGACACAAGACTATACTTACTTTTCCCTTTACTCTGAGGGCATGGCTTAAATTATATGGAAAGTCTGATTTAAATGCTGTTCACATCCTTTTTCATTGTTTTGAAACTGTAGCTTAGAACAGATTTTTGGTGAAACTGGTTCTGTGAAAATAGAATTCTTGAAGTGCCTCATCCTGCCAGCTAAGCTTATTTTTTCCCCTGCCCCCAAGCTTTTGCAGTGACTGTGTAACTCCTACCTGTTCTGTGCTGAGTCTGTGGTTGTAGGTTATTTTATTCATGTTAGATAGCAGTCAGTTTTAGTTCAGAAAATATTAGTTCCTACTGATTATCATCTATTAATATCTTTCTTTCCAGACCTTTTGGAAAAAACATACACATACTTTCAGTACATACATGAAAAACGAGCAACAGAGGTTAGTAGGCTTCATTAATCCCGGGTGATGATTTATGTTCTGTTCATTTGAGATATAAGTTAGGCCAGCTACTATTCTCTATACATTTCTCTCTTACATAAAATAGAGATAGTAGATGAGATGAGAAAATGAGATTAAACTGTTACATTACAGGAAAAATTATTCTCCATGTCAATTTCTCCACGTACCTACTAGACTATTCCAATGGTAACAGTTATGGTTGTATTTATCTGTGCTTTTAAGTACAAACAAACTACAAATAGTGGGATGTATTCATGATGTGTCTGGAAGGCTCACATGTAGCAAAGCTATTTGAACTGTCTTTTATTTCTTTAGAATTCAGATTCTTAAAACTTCATTTGAAAAGAACATCTACCACTCTGTGGACTATGAAGAACATATTTTTACTTCAGAGGTATGATGAACTTTTGTTTCTTTCTTGATTTTAATAATTGTTAATACTTTCATTTTACCAACAGTTATCAGTACTGACTTTTTTTCCAAAGTCTTTATCCTCAGCATTGTATCAATGCCACATCAGTATTTTAGTACTTTTTTCATCATCAAAAAATATCCTTTAATTTAACAATATTCAGTGGTTTAGGAGTAGATTTCACCTATTAGTGTGTGTAATTACTTGAAAAACTGCTATAAGATTTATTCTGTATTCTGTGGCTTTGTTTACCACCCAAGAAAGAACAAATTTAAAACACACATCCCTTTTCTTAGGCAGGTGGATGCGTGTGCATCTGTATCTCTCAGTTCTAAACCACTTAGGGATGTAATTGTCTTCTTGAAAATGCATTACCAGTTTTGAGCAGAGAAGATGCATTCCATATCTCTTTATAGATGCATCTGATGAAAGAAGACATAAAAGGACTCGAAGAGAAACTTCTTAAAGAAATGGTAAATGAAGTTACCTTGTCCTGATTTTTATTTATTGTTTAAGTATAGCTGTTTGAATTACTAAAAATAGTAATTTCTAGTCCCCTATGAAAAAGAAAAAATAGTCAGAATCCAAGTATCATGGACATTTTATACTTTAAACCTTATCTGGGTTATAAAAGCAACAGGTAGATACTGGTTTAATTCTAGGTCTTAATATGTTGAATGTTAACATGGAGAAGAAAAGTATCGTATTTGATATGTTAAAAGCAGCACGTACTATGCACCAGAATTACAATACTTAAAAAAAAAAAAAATGAATATTATGTAATGCTTTTTGCACAGCAAGAAGAGGAACTGTGTAACGTTCGCAGAGGACTGCAGACGTTGTTTCAATCGGGAGACAGAATTCTGAAGTAATATTTTCAGAAACCTTCCTGAAATTCAAGGTGAACTTAAAGACTCTTTAATAATGTAAAATTTGACAACTTTTTTTTTTTTTTTACACTCAAGGAAACTATTGTAATGAAAGTATATTTTCTTTAATATTAAAATCTTTTGTCCTTTTATAGATGAGATTTGGAATTATTTTACTGAATCTGCTAAAATGTAATATGTAAATGTTTGGATTTTTAGCACATCCATTTTTTAAGAAGTCTTTAACAATTTTTATAGGTTATTTAACTGACTTTCAGAGAAATTACTTCGAATTTCACTTTGAAGCTATGTTTTGGGAGTGTGTGTACAGAATAAGCCTTTTGTCTCATCCATAATACATTCAGAAATTATTTAGGAATGAAAATACCTGTTTTGATCTCAGTCCTATTTGTCTGTGTTGTTAGACTTCAGTAGGAGTTTCTAAGAGAAAACAAAACTGTAAGCACTTGTGGTTGAACTACTTTGCAAATACTTGTATTAAATATTTCAAGGAAAATCTATATTGTCTGGGGGTTTTTGTTTGGATTTTTTTACAAAATGATGTCATTACTATTTTGCTTTATATCGTTAATACACGTTTGCACAACAAATAAAACTGCTACACAAACATTTAGTGTAAGAAAACAGATAGCAAGAGGGTCTGCTATCTGTAGCTCAGAAACACATCCTACATACTAATACAGTCTATTCATATACTTAATTTCAGATTTCCCTAGAAAATGACCAGTGAGTCATAATTTATGCATCTCTTTTCTTGCCATGTATCAACTAGAAGGTTTCTTCTGAATATTTATGATGTGCAACTTCTAGGCTAATATTTCTCTTAACTTGCTTTTAAATGAAACAAAAAACTCCCTTGCATTTTATAGTTCCTTAGAGGCCTTTTAATCTTTTTTTAACTTGCAATCCTGCATGTATATACTGTTAACTTTTCAGGCTCACAACAATACTTCAACATTTTTCATTTAAATTCTCTTAAAAAATGGGGATTATTAACTCACAGTTGATGAAGAAGTAGCAGATGTAGAGTATAACTCATAGAATGTGCACGTCTTGGAGCTTGTCTACATTATCACATGCAGAGCTGCCTCTTTACCAGTAACACTCCCAGCATCTCAGGAGCCTGAGCTTGCTCAGCGCGGCACTAACACAACTTCTGGAGCAAGGCTGAATAGGGCACGTGTTTGTCTGTAGCTGATGGTACAACCAGAGAGATCTCAAAATAATATATTAGCTAATTTTAGGGTTACAGCTCTTCACAGCTTAATTACTTTATAGCCCTTATTTTACATTCCATTATACCTCTTTTTTTGTCCTTTCGTTGTCTTTAACATCGTACACACGTCTCTGTCATTTTTTCCATTATCCCCTCTACCCTCTGAACTCTTCTGTTTTTCCTCAAGTTCCTTTCTACATTCCTCACACTGCTTTTATTATCAACAGAGACCTTTACTTACAGTAGTGTTCTTTAATTATTTTCTTATATGTTACTGCAACCAGTCAGTCTGTATCTCTCGAGCTACTTATTTTCATTCCAGCTAGTTCTGAATGCAGCTATTATGCTACATTGCTGCTATTATTGTCTAACATTTTTTTAAAGTCTAATAGACTGGCTTTCAGAATTTTAAGTTGTTTTCTGTTACTTAGGTCTTATATTGATTGGAATTCCTTCAAACCCCACAATAATTTTAAAAAATATTTATCCAATAGATATAAGTTTCCGGCTGAACCTCACCTCTGTCTGCATCTTTGGTGATACTTAACCAGACTCCTTTTATTAACTCTGTTGGTTTTCCCATGCAACCTGTCTGTCCTACAGCTACTTCATATATCTTTGCTTTATCCTTCATTATTCTGACAGTAACCAGTTCCTAAAATTTGTTTTTAGGGAGAAAAATGGCATGATTTAAAATTGAATTTTAAGGTAAAATTAAGATAGAAAACTCTTTGACAGAGGTCCTCAAAGAAAATGGGAAAATCTATTGATTTACAAATTACTTCTGTATCTTTATATAATATTGCCTTTAAATTAAAGAAAAAAAGAGAAGTCCGTACTCATAGATTGTAGCCTGAACTCAGCACTCACTGAGCAACCTACTTTAATTTCCAAGTTGCTTCACTCAGAGCAGGGGTTGGGACCCATGACCTTGGGAAAGGACCTAGGTTCTTACCAACCTAAATTAATCTATGACTTTGAGAAAGATTGTTTTTTATCCTTATTGAACATACCATCTTTAAAAAAAACAAACTTCTTAAATCAGAAATGGATGTGATAGATTTCTATCCAGTGTGCACTGAGAGTAGAATGCAGAGTAATTGGTGTTCTTGCACTTCACTGATGCAAAATGGTTTATTGTAAACAGAAATAGTTATAAATTAAATATTTTTCTTAGGAATTAATTTTAAAAACACAAGGCTGTGTTGTCTCTGGAAATTATTTTGAAATTGCCAGTAAATAATTTGGTCCACTCATCCCATCTATGTAAGCATGCTTCATGCTTTTCTAATTTTTCTGAGCCTCTGATTGTTGTGGGGTTTTTTGAGCCTGTGATCACTGTAATGTCCACTAGATGGATCTCTTGAGATGTTAAAGATTATTTTTTACTGGTCTAATTGAATTTTATCTGTATATGAAATGGTGTTTTTCTCTTAATTGTACAAGGTTTTAAAAGTGCACTGTTAGGCCCAAATTCTTTTCTTACAGTGAGTACATATTGAAAAAATAATACAACTGCTATTTTTAGTGAGGACTCATGATAAAATAGAATTATGAAATTTTACTGTCCACCTATCCACTCCATTAACTTCAAAACCTTTGGGTAGGTACAATCAAATTTAACAGATGTAAAAATGTGAAGGGAGTAGTCACAAAGGTAAAGCTCAGCACAGGGAGACTGCTGTTTGTTTGTTTGTTTGGGTTGGTTTGAGTTGGGTTTTGGGGGGTGTTTTTGTTTGTTTGTTTGTTTGATTTATGGATGGGAAAGGCCAGGGGTCATTCAAAGCAGACACCTAAATGAAATGATAGGAATTGTGAACTGCAGGATTGGTTTGGCTTTGGGGTTTTTTTTTATGCTTGTGATGGAAGGACAGCTGAGAACATGGGGAAGAACTGAAGCGTGTTGCTGCATAACTACAAGATGGTTAAGTCACATTAGTAATACAGCTCATGGGCATTGTTTGAAGTTTAAAAAGCTGCTCTATGTTACCCTTAAAATATTTTTCTGTTTCTTATATTTTTCAACATCATTGTAATGTGTTTTATACAACATTTTTATTATCAGTAAAAGTATGTGTTGGTCCTAAATAGGACCTGTGTTACTTTCTGTGTTACTTTCATGGCTTATTAGCCATGTTTGTAGTTAACAGTGGGTCAGCTACTGTTCTCAAACTAAAAAAGGTTCTTCTGCTGAAGAAACTTTTCTCTCCTTTCTGTTTCCCTTTTTTGTATGCTATACCTGGACTATCATTATATCGTTGTTTAGAATGAATAGTAATTTATTAATAATAAAATGATTGATGAATAGAATTAACAGTATGTTAAAAGGCTAGTTATAATTTTACGTATTTCTGTGAAAAGCCAGCCAGATATAAAGTTGCAATAAATAGAAAAAAAAAAATCTTTGGATCAAGCAATTGGGGAATTAAAGGCTTCAATTGATAGTCACATACATCAGACATTAAAAAGTTAAACTAAATTACAGCTAGCTACATCGAAACTAACAATCTTCGTTGGTCTGGGCACCACATCTCCCATGATTCCTCAGTTTCTTTTAGCATCATCCTTACTGACATATATTTTAAGTGTTGCACTGTATGTTCTTACCTTCCATTCTTAAATGTTAGTTTGTCCAGAGAATAGCACTGTATTTGTTATTTCATCCCCACACTGAGCAGCAGAAGAGAATCAAGGGTTAGTCCATCCACTGTTTGCATTGATTCTATTCACCATCTTGCAGCAGTTTAGTAGTAGTCTATAGAAACAACTTTACATACCTTATTTTCTTTATTATTTTCATGCTTCGTGGAGATCCTCTCAACAAAGCTACAAGACTGAGAGCACCTTTTTCAAATTCCCAACATTGAATGACTTCCTAAAAGGACAGCATTTAAGACTTGCAGAGAAATTTTTGCCTTGTGTCTGTGCCATTTTGTTGCTGTCTCATCAGGCCTGCTTTCCAGCTAGCAGTGTATGATTTTTTTTTCCTAAGTTTTTTACTTTTAGTAGTATTTTGAGTAGAATTCTCAGAGACTTTTAGATGTCAAGCATTATTAGAATGCCTGGCTTTACATTTTTCTCAACCAGCTCTATTTGCTTTGTTATTAGCATTTACTAACTTTTTTTCTTTTTACTGTCAAGAAAGCATTAAAATGGTTTGTTTGCTAAACATCAAAGTAGATTGTTACCATCTAAGGTTGTCCAATTTAGGAATTTTGAATGAGAATAACAGTGAACTTAATTGTCATTCTTTAGAGGGCCAGAACCTCAACTAGTGTAGAATGACAACCATGTTATGCTGGTTAGGATCTGGTCTGAAACACTGATATTCCACGAGATGGAAATCCTTAGTTAAGATCATCCTTTTGAAGACTCTGTGTTGATAAAAGTTTATATGATCTGGTGCATAATAATGGAAATATCTTCCCAACTGTCCCTGGGAAAAAAGAGCTTTAGGAAACATGTTCATTTCCTGCAATAAGTAGTCATTTAATTAAAGAACAAAAGTAACAGGAATCAAAAATGCTTGCAGCTGTGATTCTGTTAGACATTATATAAAAAAGAATGAATTTATAATACATTAAATTAAGGTTTTAGAACATGAACTTAAGTGTTTTACAAACTAACTGTGGTAAGTTCAAAATGTCTTGTCAACGTAATACTGAATGACAGTGTGTCATGTCCGTTTATGTCAGAGGCCTTGGAATGGTAAAGCCTGTACATGCACAACATCTCCTTTTCCAAGAGAGACTGCAAAACAGTTTAA